AGCATTGTACTCTACTATCAATATTTTGTTCCTCAAATACCCTTAGGCTGTAGTGTAGACATAACCTATGTCAGCAAAATATAGTCACTCAGAGTGTAAATATTCCACACACACCCCGAGCAACATAAATTACACCGACAAAAGTGTTTGTGCGCACAGCTTCTCCCACTGACATAGCTTATTCCGCTTGTGACGGTGGTTTTTTTATCCACCTGAAGTGTCTTCATCAGACACACTGCAGCGGCACAGTTGTACTGATACTTGCAGAATGAGATTAGGCCCTAAATAAAGAAGTATTATAGTCTATTTTGACATAGTTGAAAGCCAAGAATTGCTATAACAGTTCTCTGATACTGTAAACCGTTTAATATAGGCAGAAACAGTATCGGACTTCATACTGCACACAATAGCCAAATAGCACTATTGTCCTTCCTTGCAGTGAGGTGCATGTGAAAAACAAACAAAATAAAAATGATATGAGTTAAAGAGTGAGATCATGTGTTCTAATAAGTCTAACAAAGATTGTCAACTCAACATGTCAGAGTCCAAATGAGGTATCAAAAAACAGACTCCCACAACGTGTACCATGGCCTCATGGCCATAAAGTGCAAAGTGAAACTCAACTGAATGTTTTGTGTCTGGACCAACATAAACCTGATAAAACTCTATCACCAGCCCTTAACGTCTTTATGCATTTCACTGAATCATTAAAAGGTGATAAGGATGAATGACAGCATTGCTTAAGAGGGGATGACTTTCCATGATTTGTATCTATCAAGGCTTTTATACCACCCTCATCATCAAGATGTCTAGACTGTGTTTAACCATTCTTACATGACAAGCAAGTTCTGGAGTTAAGGGCCCCCTCGCGTAATATCACATCACTACCACAGATTATGCTAATTGCAACTATGGCACAACAGCCTGGGAAGAGAAGCAGACTTTCTGGCTGCCAGCTATAGCAGCTCACGCATCACCAGTACAACCGCTATGTGTGAAGCACTACTTAGGAGGCAGACACACTGGATTCCATGCGACCTTTAGTTTCCAAATGGTCTTTAGAAGAAACCTGAAATAGAAAACATTACTGTGGTCTAATTTTGAGGTGAGAAGGGCAGGAATAATTGTAGCAAAATCTTATTCATGGCAATAGCTACGATGTAAGTATCAAGAGGCAACTACAGATCTAACATGACTACCGTATTGCAAATCTGCGAAACAAAAAGCTGGCACACTCTTTCCAGCATGGGAGCAAATAAGATCTTTGCCATCTTTTTTAATAGCTTTCACATTATGCCAACATTCCCAGAGTCTTGGCAGGCTGAAACTCAAAAAGAAGCTGAGACTAAATTTTGATTGTTCTGGCTAGAAGGCCATTTCTACAGGGTAGAAACTTGCCTTCTAAAATGCAATTTGAGGCAAATTCCTGTAATTGTAAAACAGGAATATTCATTATGTGTATGATATAAAGGCAAACAAGATGACATACTGATTATTAATTTTGCATATTTGTGAACTTAGTACATTTCTTAAATTCAATATTCATAAATACAAGGTGATTGTACCTCTGATGCACACATGAATCACCAAGACTTGGAATAACCCAAGCACTACTGGAAATATCAGCATCTTCTATCCCAAACCATTTCCTCAAGATACAAGCAATCTGATGAAAGTGAGTTAAGGCAGGCATGTACGTTCACTATGCTTGTTCTTGAAGAGTTACATAATGAAGTAAGGTTTGATCTAAAAGGGAACATGGAAGAACTGTAGCATTATGAACAAACTGGTTGGACCAGTCACTTATACTGCTGCCTAAAACTGATCTGTCACAAAGATTACAGCAAACGCAGATACCCAAATGCAAGAGCCAGCCCTCAGAAGCATCATGAGATTGTCTGACACTCCATGAAGGAGTTTGTCTCCGTAAATTAATAGATGGATTACAATGGATTTAGTCTCCAGGGCAGGTACCTTTTTTCTTACATGTATGTAAAGCACTTAATATACTGTTGTTGCAATAAATAATATATTAGCATTTTTTACTCTCAGGTATGTATATACTTTATTCATTTCTATATATTTTCTACAGATAGTCTTAATTTAAGGCCCAATCTTGTTTGAGAGTAATTTTGCTCACATAAGGATTTTAATCTGACCATTTTTGCCAGAAGCATAGATTGAGGATGAAAACCAAGGGCCATATATGATTTGGCCGCACCTTTACTGCTATATGTTTCCCTCCTTACATATGAGAAATTCCCTTGAAGGTAATGAAATTTTTGCACTAAGTCTGGGGGTACAATATGGTCCTTAGTGGATGGACATACATTTTTGTTGTGTGTTTATTTTTAAACAACAGGTAAGATTAAGCCTTTCATACATAAGGCACCAGAATAAGGTCTGATCAACACACAGTTTTTGAACAATTTATATTGTTTTATGAAGATAAACTATACTAATATACACACTTGTATGCTGGCATAACCACATCTACAGCAGTGGTTGCACCAATTTAACAATATCAGTTTCTAAACCAATACAGTTAATTTGTTACAAAAAGTATGTTTGTGTAGACAAACCCATAGATGTTAAAAGTGCATGTTCCACCTTCTTTTCTTATGCAAAACTCCCATTGTAAGTCAACAGGAATTCTGTGCTAGAATGTAGTGTAATATATGGCTCTGATACAAATCTGGGACCATGTAATGTCCTTGACCCATGCATGCAATTCCCATTGGTATTTGGAAGACAGATGACAATATATGACCCAAAAAGTTGTAAAAGAAACTTTTGCCATTGGTTTAGCAGTATAAAGCAGTATTTGAACATGAGTAAAACATTTTGTTCTGTGCAGTCTACAGAATAATCTAAAAGACACCATAAACATGCATACTAATATACATTTAGTAATGTACAAATATTGCAGTGTATTGGACATGTGTTTTTTATTTCATATGAAAATGAATAAATGAAAAACCCTTAAGAAAATTAGAGATCCAAAACACCAGACACTATGGGAAACTGAAGAGAACCTCTGTAGTTAATGAGTTGCCCAATATTTTGCCTTGCACATTCCCAGTATATAACACTGTGCTCACATGAATGGTTGACCCCTGAAAATCAAAACTAAACCGATACAGAGTACAGTGGAAAGCAGGTTATCTGAATTGCAGTGCTGCCACTGGTTTGCCAGTTACGCTTCAGTTAGCTATTGATGAAGTGCACTAGTCAAAAACTTCCAGTAATAGGAGTACCAATTACTACTATTAAAACTATTACTGAGACTGGATTGATGAAAATGCATGTTCGCTTAACTGTTGTGTTCATCTGGGTTTACACCAACTTGTGTGAGCCAGATTCTGATCTCAGTCAGTGTGTTTACATTTTCAATCATTCTGTTTTGTTTGGTTTTGGAATGTTCATGATTCCTTTTTAATTATTCAAACACCAACAACATTAACAATAAATTCAGTTGTCTCTAAGCTGTATTGAAATTTGTTTTTAATTCTCAAAGTTTGGAGAAAGATATAATTTTATAAAATATTGACATTAAAGTCATCTCCTTAACCAAAAGCAAAACTTAAAAGCTGTACATTTTTGGCACTCTAACAAGCACTGTACGAGCATCTGATCTTTTTTTTTTTAAACAAAAAAAGAAGAATCAGCTTTTTGTATGGTAAAGAAGTGACATTCAGTTGAAATTTTTAAAAAGTGAATGCTCAAAAGTACATACAATTTAAAATGTCTTAGATGCATCATTTTAGTTTACTGTAGCACTTCATCAGTTTGTACTGCTGCACAGCTTCATTACAATATGTTTGGATTTACAGTCAAGGGAGGGGTGCAGTCAAGGGAGGGGGTCCCCCCAATTTTTAAAGTGGGGAATCTGAAAGCAGAAACCGTGTATTTGGTTGTTATTACTACTTCAAGCCAGGGGGTGCTCCTGCACCCCCAGCATCCCTAGTTCCAGCACCCCTGAGTCAGGGCCCAGGATATGTGGAATCAAAAGGATGATCCCATGTACTTGAACCATGAGGCACCCCCAGCATCCCTAGTTCCAGCACCTCTGAGTCAGGGCCCACGATATGTGGTATCAAAAGGATGATCCCATGTACTTGAACCATGAGGCAGGTTCTGGACTCATGAAGATGGTCTAATCTATCATCCACCTAGTACTTTGAAAGAAATGTTAAAATTTGGAACTGCTATTTTATGATTCTCAAATGAGGATTCATCCTGTATCATTCACTTCAATAGTAATTTTACCAGTTAAGTCAATGGAAGCAGTAACACGCCACCAAAAAGCACTCTTCTGCTGCTCACCTATAGTGATCATACATTACAGTGAACAATCAGGAAACTGAGTAACAGCCGTGTTAGTCTGTATTCGCAAAAAGAAAAGGAGTACTTGTGGCACCTTAGAGACTAACCAATTTATTTGAGCATGAGCTTTCGTGAGCTAGCTAGCTCACGAAAGCTCATGCTCAAATAAATTGGTTAGTCTCTAAGGTGCCACAAGTACTCCTTTTCTTTTTGCGAATCAGGAAACTGGTATTTTGAAGATGGCATACTGCATTCTATCTTTGCCAACAGGTCTAACTCTCCTGGTGTTAAAAGCTACTGCCAAACAATTATACTGTGGAAAAAAACATATTGGTTATCACTTCTTTACTGCTGACTATTTAATAGATTGGGGTCCTGGTCCATACCTAGGGCTCCTAGACACGACAGTAATACCGGTAAAACAATAATAATTGCTAATCTTAATACTATAACCTTTAGTATTACCCTTGCACCAAAACATTCTGCAGGAACTTTAAAACTCAGTCTGTGTTTCAAAACAATTTTATCTGAGCTACACAATCACAGCAAAGGGAGTCAACTCCCCCCAAAACCCTGCCCTCGTTACATCAACAACAGGTACGAACTTGCTCCTTGGAACCAGAGTGTCTCTTGATTTCAAGATTGTGCAATTAGCTTTTCTAAAAGGCGTGTTTCTCCTTTTCAAAGATGGTTTTATTGTCCAGAGTCACGAAATGCAAACTCACTTATGCTCAGCTCTTCTAACAGACTTTCTAAAACTATCAGGTCTTTCTTTTCTCAAGCGATTTTTTTAACAAAAATCTGCATTGTGTTGTTGTTGGAGGATTTCCAAGATAAAGACGATTTTGCCTGGAACTGAAGTTGGCTGCCTGCTCTTGAAACTTACAAAAGGAAGAAAAAAGAAAAGAAAAGAAAAGAAAAAACTGTTTGACCAGCCAGAAGCTGTTTTTCTCCCAACGCTGAAACCGGTTCCTTAACGTATTAAAAACCTTGCAACAAACTAGTCTACACAATTCTCAATATGCGCAGTTCAGCGCAGGGGATAGGAAGAGAAACAGCAAGCGCAGCAGACGGTAAGAGACATGCAATTCATTCATAAAGCTTGCCAATTTGTTTAGACTGGGCACCACACGTAGAAGTGCCTCCCGTTTTTAAGAAGAGTGGGGGGAATGGACACATAATGAGCTTTTTCCTTGGTGTATTTCTGCCGGACAGATAACCAATGCTCGGAAAAAGATCAGGCGCAGGTGAGAGTGACAAGCGAAGAGACCAACATCGCTGCAGTTGTTACAAAACTTCGGCTTGCGCGGAACACGAGTTATTTGGCTCAGGCATGCACGTGAATCATTCGTTGCTCTCCCCCCACCTCCACCCCAATGCTGTATGAGTTACAGGAAGACGAGAATAAGCCTTGGGTAGTAACCCCTTAGTAGGGCAACCTAAACTCTTGTGAAACACGACACAGAAGCCTGTCACTGCCTCTCCCCTCGTGGGCTATTACCCCACCGATGCTTCCGAAAGGCACTAAAACACTTCCAAGCACGCTGACAAGATGGGCACGCCGGGAGCGATTGGGATTGCTCGACCCGGCTGCCTAGCAAACTCATCGCGGGGAAGCGGGGGGGGGGGCAGGTGCTGCTGGGTCACACCCCGGCAGCCCCCCGGGCGGAACCAACCCAGGGCAGAACGTGCCCCCCCCCCCCCAGTTAGTAAAGGGGAGAGTGGGAGCTAACAGAGGTGCCGATAAAATCCGGGACGTTTCGTCTTCAGCCAGCCGAGGAGATCGCGGCGCGGTGTGATTCCTGGGTGATGGGGAAAGCACGTGCCGAGGCTTGGCTTTCCTCCCCCCCAGAGAAAGCAAGCCCCAGACTCAGGAAGTGGCACGCCGCGAAGCTGTCACTGGCGCGGCCAAGGAGTTGGGACATTGCCCCCCCCCAGCCCCGGCCTTGACACCGCAGCGCTGGGGGAGCGGCGGCCGGCGCCCGGAACTCCAGCTAGGGAGCCGGGGGGAAAGTTTAAAGCTTCCCCGCCCCAGTCCCGGGGGCAGCGGGGCTCCTTCCCCCTCCCCGCCACGGGGCGCGATCGGTACCTTTCTTCTCCTCCACCGCGGCGCTGAGGCAGAAGCGGGCCAGGAGCAGCACCAGGACAGCGGCTCTCCCAGCCCGCAGACACCCGCTGGCTGCTGCCCGGGGCCGGCGGCTCCAGTCCCCCATCCCGGGCTGGGAAATAATCCCCGGGGCTCGGCGCGGCTCTTTCCTCGTCCCTCCGGCGGCGCTCAGCTCCTCTCCCCGGGGCCGCACCCCGCGGCTCTGCCGACCATGCCGAGCTGCTGCCCGGGCACCGGGCGGAGGCGGCGCCGCTGCGGCCAAGGGGCTCCGGGCTCCCCGGTGGCTCCCAGCCCACGTGCGTGGCGGAGGAAGCGCCCGGGGTCTGGCTGGGAGCCGGAGCGGGTCCTGGGTCTCCTCCTCCGGCGGTGGCTGCGCGCCCGGGGCTGAGGGAGCTGCCGGCTCAGGCAGGAGGCAGCTCCGCTATCTCCCCCTCCTCCCGGCTCCGCCGCTCGCAGCACAACCTTCCCCGCACGCAGCCAGCGAGCCGCGCACAGGGGCTCCCTCTGGGGAATCCGCCCGCCCAGGAGAGGGCGGGCATGGGGGCGGGGATGAGCAGGGGGAGGAGGCGGCCTTGGTGGCGCCTCGCCCTGCTGGGCTCCAGGTGAGGGGCCGGCCGGGGCGCTCACCTGCCCCCGGGGGGTGGGGAGGAAGCTGGGGACATTCCCTGCCCCAGCCAATAGGCCCTGGCTCCAGCAGTCCCACCCCTGCCCAGCCAGGGCATCTCTCCCCTCAGCTGGAGCCTGCCGCCTGCATTAGCATTTGCTAAAGAGAAGATCGCACCTTAGCTCTGGCGGCAGCTTTGCAGCCCTGCCCGCCACCGGTCCCCCTACCTGGGGAGGGCAGGAATAAACCTCTGCCTCAAGTCTCCCTGGTTCATCAATAGGAGGCAGAGTAAGCTAGGCACGACTGGGAAACGCTTAGAAGGGAAGCCAGGAGAGGACTGTAGCCCTGCTCGCTTGCACATTCACTCCCTCTCTTTTTTCAGCGGTTACACGAGATGTGGCCTAACTCTAACTCCGTTGACTTTGTTGGACTCTCCTGCTTTACACCCCTGTAAGTAAACTCAGGATCAGCCCTCCTCTCTGGGTGAGAGAGCGGAGGATGGCTGGCAAATCTAGTCTCCTATGTTCTTGAGGAGGCTAGAATGGAAATCAGTAACTGAGCAACTCTATCAGAAAACAAAAGGCTGATAAGGAGCAATTGTGGGTGATTGAGGTGGGAGGCTAAAACCAGTCGGTCGCTCCTTTGCTTTCAAAAGAGAGATTTGCAGATGAACTTAAAAAATGCCAACAGAGCTTTATAAAGGACCTCATAGGGAAAAGTCAGTTAATCAATAATTACCTTGCAAAGTTAATGATTAAAAAGGTTATGACATAGCACTAGATCTTGGAGTTTTGCTACTGGCTTCTATGGGATTGAAACCTGTTCCCATTGTGTGCATTTTACCCCCAAACACTTTAAGGAGAGAGAGAGAAGACAAGCTACATTATTTCTATGCATCCTTTCTTCCCCCAGTAACTCAGTCCCATTGGTACTAATCCTATATGGGACTAATGGTTTTTTTTTTTTGCTATACTGTATTCTTCTGTTCCTATTTTGGCCTGGATCTTCCAAGCTTTATACAACCCAAAAATCAACAGAAATCGTTAGAAGTGTTGCTTGACTAAGGAATACTGAATTAAGCAACAACAACAAAAAAATCTTTGTTTTGTATTACTGTGTTTTTCCTTGTACAAACCATTACACACACACACAGAGTAAATGATGTTTTTATATGGCTAACATTATATACTGAATTTGTGCATCTGGAAATCCTGTTACACTGTCAGATGCATTCTGTGTGGATCTGCTAGCTTTCATTAGCTGAGACCCATAGGATTTTTTAATCACACAAGGCCAATATAAATAATCTTTGCAGCACTATGGGATAACCTCAGCACATATTAAAGGTTGCAAACTGCACTGTAGGGATGGATGCTGGATTAAAGCCACTGGGAGAGAAGCTTGTCACAGGAGGCATAAAAAAAATATAATTTAAAGGCTAATGTAGCTACCTCCTTAAAGACAGTGCAAGAATAATTTATTTAATGCATGCTGTTAGCACTCAGAAGGCTAACTTGGTTATATATGGCAATAGGACCAGATGTTAACAGGGTTCACCAAAAACCAAATAAACCACAAATCAATTCTGCAGGTAAATATATATATATTCAGACAATATAAAGATACCATTTACAAAAAATAATTAAGGGTTATTGGCTTTTTAAAAATAAAGAACAAGAAGGAAATAAAAAAAGTGATGACTGAAAAACAAACTAAACGAAAGAAAGAGAAACCATCTCCAAAACATGAACTCAATAAAAGAGTCCTACGTGTTTAAAGTGTTTTACATTCTGGTTGTGAAACAATCTGCAATTCTGAGCTGGAGCATTTCGCATCTAGTTTATCTGTGGTCAGTCATCTTTTCTATGTGAATGTGTATGAAACTGACTGATCATGAATGAACTTCCTCCTGACCGAAACTGAAGGCCAATGGAAGCCTAAAGGCATGTCTACACTCTTTATGGTGGCATGTAGAGTACATACACTACACACACCCTTAGCATGTGTATGAATAGCAGTGGAGACAGTGAGGCACTGCTTAGGCGAGTAGAATATAGACATGCCTGAACCCTGTGGGTACGTACCTGACACAGCTCTCTTCTCTACATGCTCAAGCAATGTCTCCCCCACCTATAGTGCTATTTTTAGCAGCGCAGGCTACATCCCCACTGTTGGAATCTTTCCCATCATATGAAAGGCTCTAGCAACAAGGAAAAGGCACGGAGGAGACAGTGAAGGAAGGCTTCAGAAGTTCATCATTGCCAGAGCCTTTCCCCTCCACAGCTGCCTCCCCTCTGCTGCAGCCTTTCATTGACATGTATAGCTACACACCACAGAGTGTATGTATGCAGCTTGCTTTTCATTGTAGCATGTAGATACATATACCCTATATGCCATCTGCAGTGGTGTGCAGTGTAGATGTAGCCTCAGAAAATTCTCCCTTAAGTTATCCTTTCTCCTACTGCAAATGTTCAACTCCTTTTCCATGTGGGAAAGGCTCCTTCAGCACTAACACTATGGGAGTTGTGTAGCAAGCTGCTATCACTTTTTTTCTACCCTGTCTCACTGAGTTCAAATGTATTATGTTCATGACACCTGAGCTCTACGAGTCAGGGAAGTAAGATACATAAAGACATACCAAGACCTGAAGAACCTATGCTGCAGCACAACTGGGACACTACCAAACCTGGCAGGTCTGCAGATATCTCCTGTTCACATGACAAAACAATTGCTGAAATTGTTACAGTTTACATAATATATCTGCTTCAAACACAGGGGCCCACATCCTGCGCTGGTGTAAGCTGGTGTAGCTCTACTGAGGCCAATGTAGTTATCTCAATTTTCACCAGCTGATGATCTGGTCCAGGGAATGTAATATTGCAAAACATTTATTGTAGCTGCTGCATGTCACTGCGCGATCAAAGGTCATGGAACAAAGATCAATTCTTTGACCAACATCTTTTAAATTAACATTTCTTAGTGAGATCATACTGAATATATCAGTTTTCATCTGTATTATTCATTTATTCCCATTAAAGCATGTACCCACAATTCTAGGTGTGAGCCATACACATATGGCCAAATCTGTTACATGGAGCAAAGCCCATTTAAACTGGTTTTGCTCTGGGTAAGGACACTACAGGACTGAGGAACATAATTCTAACTTCCCACTGCTTATGTTGCCTCGGCTGTTGGGCTGTTCTCCCCTACTACAGGGCATGGGGAGAAATCATAGAATATCAGGGTTGGAAGGGACCTCAGGAGGTCATCTAGTCCAACCCCCTGCTCAAAGCAGGACCAATCCCCAATTTCTGCCTCAGATCCCTAAATGGCCCCCTCAAGGATTGAACTCACAACCTTGGATTTAGCAGGCCAATGCTCAAACCAGGGAGCTATCCCTGCCCTGCACTAAATAACTGACATGGCCACATTCCCATCATTCCCTCAATCCCCATCAGCAGCAGAGGTGGAGTTAACCTCACTCCCCCATGCAGACTGTGTTGCAAAACAAAATGCAACTTCAGAACTCCATTCTCTGGTGGGCAGGGGGGTTGTGGAATCTTGTTGCATGGAGTCCCTGCAGCTTGGTCCTCTACTCCAACAAAGCGTGGGTGTGCCTTGCCCTCCATTGCCTTCTTGCAAGGATGGTGACAGGATTTACCCCACAGTGAGAACTTGCAAGTAACTACTCATTTATCTTAGTGTGGCTCTTTTCTGTGAGTTGGACAAGAAAGTTTATCATGAGAGAGAAAAAAATGAAAGAGTGTTGATTAGAAAATTTAATCTTTGATTTTTCAGATTTCATCTGCATTGCGCTGGAGTTTGTAGAGACTGTAATTTGTATGACGTATTCTGCACCTCCCTATTGAAGTTTTAATGCAAGAATTGAGGAAATGATTTGTAACACTTCTATGGCACTTGACATGTTCAAAACAATGCACAAACATTAACTAGTTAATCTTCACAACTCCCCTATGAAACAGGTTAGTAAATATAATCTCCACTTGTTAGAGAAGTAATTTGGCAGGGCAGAGTGGGGCCAGGACAGAACTGGGGTTAGATCTCAGGAGGTCCTAATCTTAAATTCTGTGTACAAACCCTCAGATCATGCTGCCTCCAGAGCAGATACTCACTAATTATAATTATATATATCTACATAGACACAAATATTAGTTTAGGTTTAGAGTAGCAGCCGTGTTAGTCTGTATCCGCAAAAAGAACAGGAGTACTTGTAAAAAGAAAAAGGAGTACTAAGGTGCCACTAGTACTCCTTGCCACTAGTACTCCTTTTCTTTTCGCGAATACAGACTAACACGGCTGCTACTCTGAAAGGAGGACTTGTGGCACCATAGAGACTAACAAATTTATTAGAGCATATAACGGAATGTAGGAAGAGCTGGGCAGGTATACAGATGGGCACTGGAGTTAAGCCTTAGTTACCATAAATCCCTTAGTCAATATTTCTTTACAGAACATGTGACTGTGTCCAAATCAAGAGGTTTTTAATTTCCAAGTTTGTACTGTCACTATCTATGCTGTCCTGTTCTGTGGATAAACAGAGGGCTTCAGTCAGCAGTGTGTCAATAAAGCACCTTCCATGAGTATTCAGTCAATTTTTTTTTTAATTCTGGTATTTGCAGCAGTGGATTATTCCCAGACTTCAGATGGGCACCCATTTAAAGTCTAATGCATGGGTGTGGCATTGAGATTTGGTTTGCCCCAAAATCCTACACCACAAGTGACACAGCTAGAGCTGGTATGAATTTCTTTTCCAAAATGGTTTGATAAAAATTATGATTCTGTTGAAATCAAAATATTGTCTTAAAAAAACATGCTGATTTAAACAAAATTTTGTTTAGAATAAAACTCAATGACGCAGAACAGATTCATTTAATTTTTCATTTCACAGTGACTTTTCAAAACAAAATTCATTTTTTATATTAAAATACTTTTTCAAAGTTAAAAAAAATCAGAACAAAATGTTTTGATTTTTATTAAAACAAAACATTGATCCAAAGTGAAGTTTTTTCAGAATTTTCATTTTGTAGGAAAATTCTATTTTTTGTTTGTTTTCATTCTGTTTCAGAATGGACATTTTTTTGATACCATAGATTCTCCTAGTTCTAACTGTCAGCTATCTATTTATTCTCTGCCAGCATAGCTCCTCCTTTGGGTGTGATGAAAACAAACCCCACTTTTGTCCAATAAGTAGCAAAAATCCGGGTGTATTTTGGATATCACTTAAGGTGAATACATGAAATGCCAAATGTGAGGATTAAAACTTGGTCAATGTCCAATTTAAAGATTGCTAATTATTGGACTGTAACACATGAACAGAATCACTATCAAAGGCAATACATGATTGTAGCTTCCATATGCTTACTACTTACCCTTCTTCTGAAATCTCTTTAAAGCTGCCAGAGGACTTGGCATTGACACTGCTATCCACTAAAGAGATTCAGAAGAAAAGAGTGAGTAAAAAGAAGTGTTATTCATATGCCTGTGCTACTCCACATCCTTTAACATTGGGACAAATCCTGAAGTCTTTTGCCAGTCCTTACTTGAGCAAAACTTTCAGTGAAGTCACTGGGAGTTTGACTGAAAGGACCTCAGTACTCTCTGTTGGAATGATGACGAACACCCTTTATAAAATCTTTGCTACTAAGTAGTCCAGTAGCTTCCTATATAGAGCATAAGCAGTTTGCTTTACTTCAATATTTTGTTATGTTTGATATCTATATTAGTATGCTACGTAACTTCTTTTCTTGGACAAATGTCATGTATATTTATACTATAGCAATGAGATTGTAATGTGTTGTCAAAGCACCTGACTTCAATATAAATTTTGCTTATGCTATCATTACAGACTGCATAATTATACAAGTCAGCTATTATTAAAATGTCCATATTAATAAATTGCTTATTATATTATTGTCACAATGCAGACTTCTTTGATAAAGGAAGAAGCTTTGTTCAATCCCTTATTCTGCCCCCTCTTTACAACTCCTGTTTACTGAGTATGCTGCCGTTTTGAATGATTTCTTAGCAAAGTAGAAAATGACAGGGCCTTGATCTTACTCTCATTGCAGTTAATAGAAGTTTTGCCTTGCATAGTACCCCAGATCAGGGATTGAGCATGTGAATCAGTGGGAGCTGGATTGGAATCACATATTGTATCTAGTCCCATCAGCTTCTTCCTCTCTGCAACCACTCCCTACATCCACCCTCAGTTAAATAGCAAACTGTTGCTCCAAGCAGTGTTCCCAGAAAATGAGGTGTATGGCTAGGACAGACATAGGTAAGCTGATGTAAAATATGCCATGTCTATGGTCCTGAAGGGCAAGGCAAGTGAATTATGACCTGTTTGAAGGGATGCGTGTCCTGATGAGTTTATAACACTGAATCAGTGGTCAAAGGAAGGAATAATATGAACAGAATAACTAATGAGATTCTTTTCTTATTCATCCATCTAAGTCTGATATAAGAAAGACATAGGCAGGTACATCAAGGGATTGTGGCATTGTAACACCCCAAAATATCTGCAGCCTCCAGTCCTTATCTGCTGCTAATTAGTAATTGAAAAATTCAGATTTCCATGCATCTGAACAACATCTCATTACTTTGGATGATGGAGACCAACATGTTTGTGGGTTTGAATTGCTCACATTTTAATCTTCTTTTTCAATTTTTCACTCAAACAAAATATATTTCCCAATGTTTTGAGGCAAACAGTTCTATCTTCTCCTTCATTCCAAGACCCAGTGATCCAATAACCAGCAGTAGATGAAAGGATGATACACACAACTTGGAGATGAATATCTCTTTGAAAGCTAACATGGGACTGACAGCCCTATAAACGTAATGCATGTGCTAATGATCATACACACATCATTGCCTTTTGCAGCATTCTCATCCTCATTGATTATATCCACGATTAACTTCTCTTTGGCTATGCTTCTACAGAAAAACATTCAGTGCTCATAAACCATCTTTTTGTTTAAGATTAATATTTATGGCAAAATCCTCTAGTGTGAATGCAGTTTTATCTCTATAAATATTCTGATATCTTAAGCTCAGTCCCCTGACTGGCACAAGCTATTCTAGTATAAGTACAGTTATACTGGTATAACTGCATAGCTATGTTGGGGGAAGAAAAAACCCATGCACCCTCTACTGTCGAAGCTCTGTTGGTCAACCTTTTAAAGAGTAGACCAGGCCTCAGTTGCCAGGCAGAGAGGCAGAAGATAGAGACAAGTTTAGGAACATAAATCAATACAGTTCACTACTAGAAGAATTGTGGTTGTCTTTAAATTCTTCTCATCTTTACATATTATCCTTGTTCTCTCCCCCTTTCCATGTTATTCTTTTCTCCCATCTCAATTTATTTCCCACTGAAGTATTCTCTATTCTCTCTCTTTCTTGGACAAAAAAACCTTTTTCCTCTTGGGCAATTTCTCCTTGATTCTTGTTCTTTCATCTCTTCCGCCTTTCCACTTGAATTCTCTTTTCTCTCCCCCTTGCTCCTCCTTCTCAGATCTCTCATCTCCTCACTGTTTTCCTTATACTCCACATTTTGTTTCTAGAACAAACCAAAATCAAAAATTTTAGGATATTTGAAATTCTGGTCCTGAATCTTAATTTAACAAGTTTTCCCTGTCTTGATAATGGGTTGAACCAAAACTCAAAATCCAAACAACCTCAATCCTTTACTTCTACCTGGACAGCCACCAGATATGGGAACTAGCAGAACATAAGAGTGGCCATACTGGGTCAGACCAAAGGTCCATCTAGCCCAGAATCCTGTCTTCCGACAGTGGCCAATGCCAGACGCTTCAGAGGGAATGAACAGAACAGGTAATCACCAAGCAATCCATACCCTGTTGCCCATTACAGCTTCAGTAGGATGACTGTAGTGATGTTTTGGGGGTCCATCCACATAAGAAGTGTATGAAAGATGCAATCTGAATGCCATGCTCATTGCCCCTCCCTATTGATGAATCCCAATCTCAGAATATCCATCCTTTCTATCTCTCTCCTTCATACCAGCTCTCTCTCTCATGTCCTTCCTGAGCTGCTAGCTCTTCAGCCTTGCCAACAAGGCTTTCCTGTTCAGAGAGGTGGACAATCTGCTTTCTCCTGGTGACCACTAAGGTTTGACCATCTATATCTTTCTCTCACTCAAACCAAAGTTCAACAAATCAGAAGACAATCCAAAATAAACGTTACTTATTGTCAACCTGAAATTAACATAATACCAACTTCAAATGTATGCTCTTGTCCCTGCTGGCAGGCCTCCCAAGCAGGGAACGGGCATTTTTCTGTATCATTGCTAATAACCTGGTATCCTGAAATGAGCTGAAAATATGCAACAAAATAGCTTGGGGCTGGTCAACATTGTCCTCCCCTTTTATCAGGTTCAGTGGGCCATTTCAGATCCTGTTATTTCACTATCCCTTCATCATCAACAGACAAATTGCAAAATACTCTTTATTTAATTGTATGCATTAATTTTTTTTCCTGCAAAACCAGGGTCCCAGGTAACTTTAACCATTGAATGCATCACCAGAGCTCTGAACCCATCCAGTCTTTCTGCAGGCCCCTCCTTTTACTACCCTCCTCCCTCCACTCACACTCAATTTATTTGGTTAGAATTAAAAGAACTAATCCTGATATTTTCAAAGGGGCTATTGGCATTAGGATCCCAGCTTCCACTGAAATTCAGTGGGGATGACAACTAACTCCTTTAGTCACCTTTAAAAATCCAAGTTAAGATTTTACAGGAAAGTATTTCCTTTTTCCATGATGTTGATTCTATGAAGGCTAAAAAAGACTCAAGCTGCCTTGAAATTGAAGTAATCTCATTTCTCCATTAGTCTGAGCCAGATTGTGCAGCCCTTACTCACCCTAATCATGCAAGTAGATCCGCTGACTTTAATGGTCTTGTTTGTATGAGCAAATTTCCCATTCACACAAGAGTTGCCCAATCTAGCCCTTTGGCAGTGAGGGTCTTGCAGGAATTGCAAATAATCCCACAGATGGATTTAGTTGATTAAGATTTTTCCTCTTTTCTGTAGGGCCAGAATTGAAAATTGTAACAACCAGGATACTAGCATCAGACTTAGTGGTCAGAGCAGGAGCTAGGAGTCAGGCCAAGCAAGTACTGGGAGGTCAGAGTGCAGGATAGACCAGAGAGAAAACCAAGAGTCAGGCATCATGCAGGGTTGGAAACCAGAATCTAGGGTCCCCTACAAGCAGGGCCTGGAGCAGAGACAAGCAGTCTATACAGCTGCTGAGACAACTACCCTTCATGGCTTCCTGGTTTATATACTGGTATCAGCCAATCAGGGAGCTGTCTGAGGCCGCCTCTTTGGTCCTGCTGAGTGGTACTTCTTGCTGAGCCCAGCCTCAAAGGGTCCTCCTGTGGGAGCCCAGCTTAAGCCTGATGTGGTGGTGCCAGAGAACCCAAAGCCTGATAGTCTCAAGTTCTAACCCTGCAGATTCTAACAAAAAGAAGAGCAAGTAGGAAAGATGTTACAATTGCCTGCTTTAAAACACCTAGGGTCATGGGGCAGCAAGTCAGGCATAATGACCTAAATTCAGACCTGGTATAAGAGAGTGCAACTCTATTGACTTCAATTGAATTGGAGTTGCTTTCACTAGGTCTGAATTTTTCCTTTTTTCCCCACCCTTTTTTTAAAGTTTAGTTTAAAGAGAATATTTTCCCTCATCAGTGCACTATAAGATTAGCAAGAAGGTGAAGGTTAAAGGGAACAGCATGGGTGCATCATGCATAGCATGATACTGATGTTTGTCACTCACAGATCCCTTACTGACCTCAATTTGTTATCTCTGAAATCTCACCATAAAATCTCACCACTTGAATGAGCGCGCACAGAGGATGAGAAGCTTTTTCTGAGTTGAACAACCCATGCTAACTTGTCTTGAAAGATAGTAAAATAAAATTTGGAAACCCTGGTTAACTTTTCCAAGATACAGAATATATTAAAAATGTTTTATGCCAAATGTGTTTTAATCTTGATACAGAGATAATAGAAACTAAAGGGATTAAAACAAGAGATTTTCAAAAAGCATCTAAAGGAATTACGAGCACAGGTCATATTGACTTTCAATGGGCCTTCTGTTTCTTATTCCCTAAGTGCTTTTGAAAAATCTACCTCGAAATAAATAAATTCTCCTAAAAGAAACAAGCACTTATTTAAGAGTCAGGTCACCCTGAGCCCTGATACTGGCTCAGTCCTGACTCAGTGTGTTGCTTTAGGCAAGTGTCTGCCTTTTCTTCTTTCAGTTTCCCCATCTGTTAACTGGGAATAACACTTTCTTACCTATCACAGTGGGGTGTTCTGAGGAATAACTAGTTAGTTTCTATACACTATTTTGGACCTGTAAAACACTATAAAAATGCTATTATTAAAATTCTGTCATTTTATCTGCGTTTTGGTTTGAGGTACCTGAGATCGTGAAAGATACATGTTTGATGTTTTAACAATGAGTCTCACTCTCTTTTCTTAGGTTTCAGAGGAGCAGCCGTGTTAGCCTGTATTCGCAGAAAGAAAAGGAGGACTTGTGGCACCTTAGAGACTAACCAATGTATTTGAGCATCAGCTTTCGTGAGCTACCGCTCCCTTCATCGGATGCATGTCTTTTCTTAATAATTTCAGAAGTGACGGGTCTCCACCTTCAGGAGATTCTCCCTGAAGCTGAAAGTTGGTAAAGCCAATCTCATGTACTGACGCTACTGCTCTGTACTCCTAATTACACATAGAGTGATGAGCACCGTATAAACCCAGCTTGCCTGGTAAACAGCCATTGCCGTGTCGTGGTTAACCACAGCATTAATATTAACATCTGACACTTCAGTCTCTATGAGGGATTATTTTTTTAATTTATTAAAGGCTTAGGGGGGAAAACCATAGGGCTGGATTCTCAGCTGGTGTAACTGGATGAAACTCCACAGAAGTCCACGGAGTTGTAACCGTTTACACCTGAAGAGCATCTGGACAGGAACACTGCAAATGATTTTGAGGCATTTTGGTGAAAAATGGTCACACATGGATACAAACTATATTCAGGTTGCAAACGGACTAGGTACTTCATTACCATTGACTGTAACATGGGTTGAAATGTTAAGTTTTAAAAATGCAGGATGAGTATTTTTAATAGCAGCATCTCTCTAGGGATGGTATTTATTTACTTTAGTGCATGTAAATATGCCGGAATGACAGCCTGGGAAAATGAAAGCCTCTCTTCATTCACAGAACAAGTACAGGAGGAGTGTCAGCCTTCTCTCAGTGCTCCACACATATGCCTCAACTCGCAGTGGAAGAGGACCATTTCTAGAGAATAAGAGGGCTGATCAGTCTTCATGCTCATTTGGCCTTTGTCCTGTTCCCCTCCACGCATCAAAAGTGCCAACAGCATTGCTAACAAATGCAAGTTTTGATGTGGGGTTTTTGTATTGTGGACACGTCCACCTGGAAGTCAACTGGGATCACCAAATTCATTTCACACATCTAAATAGCCAACAGGATGGTAACAATTATATACTGAATTAGAACTGGAAAGCTAGAGGTGAATGTTTTTAGATCCTGGGGTCAATTTCTTGAGTAATTCACTGATCTCATGTGTATCTTCTCTTTCATTTGTCAGAGAGAATGTGCCCCATCCTCCACAATGAGCGTCATTTCTGTATAGGGAACAGTGAACACATCAAGTGTCAACTCAGAGTTCACCTGGCATTCTTCCATTTGTGGGAGGGGAGTGGACTCATACGTTTTCCCACTTACAGAAAAGTTTTGACCCACAGACTTCCATGGTATTATCAAGGAAGAAGGCATTATTGAACAGGAGTGAAGGTATCAGAATTTGACATTTAATATGTGATATGAAACATATGTTAGTAATATTGAATATTTAAATCCAAATTTAATATACAATATGCATATTAGTAATCAAAATACTGCATCACAATAAGTGAAATGTGGAAAGATGCCTGTGTATCCTGTTGTATATTTTACTATAAAACAATTATAATCATGAATTTATGTGTTTATTTTCATGAGCAGCATGAAAATAGAGATATGTAAGATTATACAGTTGTTTTTGAAATTCAAAAGGTTTTATTTATCATGAAGCCAAAAATTAATACAAATGAAAGTTTGCATGCTAAAACAGAACTCTGAACTGTGAAACACCTTGCCCTGTTTATATACATTTGTAAATTGTATGCATATATATGAATAAACTAATATTATTAAAATTAATGTATACTGCATTAGTGTCCCTGGGTCAAATCCTCAGCTGGTCCAAGTCAATGGAGCTATGTTGATTTACCCTAGTTGAGGATTTAGCCCTACATTTTTATTTCACAATAAATTACAGGAACATGATGTTGATGATAACTAAAAATCTGCTCCCTTTTTTCCAGTAGCTAACTTATCAAATCTGTCCATGTACTAACTGATATGCCCCATACACATGTACATGGCATGAAAATGAATATGAAAAGAGATGAACCTGCATCTACTTCTCTACAGAGAGAGGATCCACATGTAATAGAAATTTTCACAGACAGTGTCACTCAGAACCATAATGTTTGCTGTCTATCGGACATTCACTCCTAGATGTAGAATCCCTGAAATGGTTTGCACTGGAGGAGAAGAAAAAAAGACATAGAACAGTATTTTATCCTTTAGAGACTTTTTTTTTACAAATACCACTGTGCTACAGATCTACAAAAAATATAAGGGGGCAGAAACATGATCTCAGCATTGGCTCACACTGGTGTTCAATATACACGGGGAAGTCAATCTAGATTGTACTGTTAATGAAGGGGAAAAAACCTCATCAAATTGCAGCACGGCATAGGGACATTTTTAATTGAATAATTTTTGGATTTTTTAAATTGTTTCAGGGCTTGTTATTCCTCTTTCTTCATAGAAATCAGTTTTTTTTTAAAGTTGTATTCATTTTTCTGTAGAGCAAAATTGCATTTAGCAGCTATTTATCCAAAATAAATCAGAACTGGACACAGTATTCCAGTCGTAGTAGCATCAGTGCCAAATACAGAGGTAAAATAACCTCCACACTTCTACTCAAGATTCCCCTTTTTATGCATCCAAGTATCCCATTAACCTTTCGGACACAATGTTGCACTGACTAGAAACTCATATTCAGCTGATGATTCATGACCCCCAACTCTTTTTCAGAATCACTGTTTCCTCGGGAAGAATCCCTCCTCCTGTCCTAGATGTATACATTCAACCATATTACAATGCACATTGTTCCTTTGATAAACTGGGCACAAACAATCGAGATTGCTCTGTATCAGTAACCTGTCCACTTCATTACTTACTCCTCCCCCAATTTTTATGTTATCTGCAAACGTTTTCAGTGATGATTTTATGTTTTCTTTGATAAAAGTGTTAAATAGCATAGGGTCAAGAACCGAACTTTGTGAAACCCCACTAGAAACACACCTGCTCAATGATGGTTACCCTTTACAATTACATTTTAAGACTTATCAGTTAGCCACCTTTTAATTCATTTCATGTGTGACACGTTAATTTTATATTGTTTTAGGTTTTTAGTCACTATGTCGTGTCGTACCAAGTCAAAGTCTTACAGAAGTCTATGTGTATTACATCAATGCTATTCCCTTTATCAACCAAACTTGTAATCTCATCCAAATCAGTTGGAATAGTTGGCAACGCAGTTGTTGCTTGACAGATTCCACAGATACTTTCACTTGTGCAGCGCTGTTAGTTGTTCTAATAAATTCAAATGGGAAGTTCTGCACCCAGAGGGAAGACAAAAAAGAACGTAAAATGATTCAGGAGTTAAGAACCTGCTTTTTTTGTTTGTTTTTTTAATGCAACCTTCACATTCTACTACGCCATTGTGAAATTAACAATACTGAGCAAATATCAGGGCTCTTGAGTGGTTTAAATTTAGTCTACAATAAGATTATTTTCTAGAGGTGAATATAGTTCAAAATTTTCTTCAAAGCATGTAGCCTCACTTACATGCACGTTTTTAGAGAAATAGTATTTACAAGTCTTGTGGCATGGAGAAAAAAGAATGGTTTTTAATAAGGGGAATAGTAATTTAGCTGAGCTTAAGTGGAATTGTACAAGGAAGCTGGAGAGAACTAACACCAGATGGTTCCACGCAATGTAATCCTCATACTTTCAGAGCCCTCCTACAGGAGATCATATTAGTTATGAGAACAAGCTCTCACTCACTGGTCATACCCAGGGAGCAAAACTAGAGCTGGATGGGAAATGGTTTTTCCATCCTGCAAAAAACTGAATTCAAACATTTTCCCATTCTGGGATGAAAGAGGCAGTAAGAGACCCACTCAATAAGATCTCAGAGTGGGCACTAATTTGGGATATGACAGACCCAGGTTCAAGTCTCTGTTTTGCCCAATTCAGAGCAAACATCTCTCAATATTCACTGCCCTAGGGAAAGAAACATACTCTATACCCCGGTGATTAGGGCCTCACCCAGGATGTGGGAGATTCAGGGACTTGAATCCACAACTATGCCCTAATCTCTGGGCTATAGAGTCAGTTTCTCTCTGTCTGGCCCAGGGAATATTTAATTATTTCTTCAAAGTAGAACAGCTCTAACAGGAGAGCTTGCGAGAGAGGCTGACTATAACCTGGTGGTTATTACACCTGATCTGTGGGAAACCCACGTTCAAATCCCTGATCTGTCTGTATAGAGTACTTGGATACAGAGGGCTTGAACCTGGGCTTTGTATATCCCAGGTGAGCAGCCTAACCACTGGAATACTGTATTTCTTTTTCTCTCTCTCAACATAACTTTTGTTGGGAAAGGTTCTCAGAAACAGATACATTTGTGCAAAAAGTTTGCTTCAACAAATTGGTATTTTTGAATGAAAAACTGTTTTGTCGAAAAAATCCCAACCAGCTGTGGGCATGACACAGTTGCTAGCCCTTTGTGGAATCAGAAGCTTTATACAAAAGTTAATGCTTTTATGGTTCACTTACACCACCCAACCCGGCTCGTGTGTGCACGCCACAATGTAATCTAACCAACTTTTTCATGCAAATGACTACACAGTTTATATATTAAATAAACAATGTTGGTAAGATTTGCTGCTTTGGTCTGTTCTGCACTCTTTTGTTTATAGTAATGTATCTAACAATAGAAGACTAGAACAGCACTTAGATTTATCTGGTCCAAAATCAAGAGATTTCAGAGTCCCTATTCCTGATAACTCTCCCTAAATTGCAGCTTCTTCAAATCTTCTTTTTCTTCCCAGTTATTCATTCCCTCAATCAATCAGGGAACAGAAACACCACCAGGTGATTTCTAACCAGTCACAGGGAATAAATCCTGTATAATTTTCCTATGTCAAGTATACAGCTATTTGTGATCAGTTCAGAGTTTTAAAAAATTCCCCAAATAGTGAGATGATTACATACAATAATTAGTAAATTTGAGAATCACAACAGGCTTGCAGACACTCCAGGAACAGAAAGAGGCCAAATCAATCACCCTAAATTTTAGTTGTTACCATGTACTTAACAAGGTTACTAAGAGATCACTTTGTATGTCACCAGGTTGGTGACAGAGAATGAACTTGTATAAAACCACTTCTTGGATCAGGTTATCCAATCATGAGCAAGCTCACCCACTGGAAAGAAACTTTATTCCTCCAGCTTGCTCCGGCTGACTATATTGCTTGGCTGATAGTACAGACAGAGTTATTCATATGATCTTTCTATTCTCCTTTTTGTACTGTAGTTCCCTTCTCAGCCACTGATTTCCACTTACATCTTCTAGTTCTTTAAGCAACCACAGTGCCAAAAATGTGACTGATCTCGCCCTTCTTTCCTATTGACTTGCCCACAAGTCAATCATGATTTTTACAGATTTGTTTTTCAGAATTGCTCACCAAACATACTTCCATTTTTACAAACAGTGTGAGGCAAACACTCCTCTATGCCTTTGGTCTCTGGAATTCTGTGTGATTGGCTACTGGTTACACATCCTATGGTTTCTATTCCCTGAATTGATGACTTACCCTCTAAATAAATAGGAGCAGTGCCCAAAGAAATCACTAAGACATGTAATTTCCCATGTAAAAAAGTAAGGAGAAATAGGTAAGCAGTAAACAGGCCTAGAAAATGTTACTGTCCCCTGTGGCAGTAGAACATATATTATATATATGTTTATGTATGTGGATCCCTGATCTTAAAATAGCTGGATTCTCAGGCAACTTAAGAAAAATACACCAGATCTATTGACTATCTTTTCTAATACACTGTACTTTCTCTTGTCACATTCCTACCGTGTAACTGCATGTATTGACCAGGTGAGCACTTTGGGCATGAAAACACTCATTTATGCATGGATATCTGGAGTCAGATGAATAAAAGATTTTCCCTCCAACGTTCATGTGAACAAATGTAATGGATATTAGTCAAGGTGCTCAGTGAGCCTCTGGAAGGTGCTCAGCTACCATGGTGATGGGCATGATATAAGGCACCTGAAAATAAAACCCATTCATACAAATGTTTGCTAAATGCAGCTCATTAGATTTCCTGAACACATTTACAATTTCCTCCCCCTGCATCCCTGCACTATTCACCCAGCCAACTCTCCTGAAACCCCCATGCTCCAAGAGAGACCACTAGAGTCTGCACCCTTCTCTTCTTTGTATAGAAACTTCCCTTCACAGGAGGATATCAGAGGAGAAATCGGCCGAGTTAGCTACACATAGCTCACTCTTAGCGGGCATGCATCCAAGTACCTAAGGATTATTGCATTTCATGAGCACTAAAATTACACCTTAGGCCTTGTCTACACTGGCAAGCTTCTGCGCAGTAAAGCAGCTTTCTGCGGTGTAACTCCCGAGGTGCGCACGCTGCCAAGCCACTCAGTGCACAGAAACTGCGCAGTTGCACTGTAAAAAAAACACCCCGACGAGAGGCGTACGGCTTTCTGCGCTGGGGGTACAGCACCGCAGTGCCGGTGTAGATACCCTGGTCGATTACAGTGCTGAAAGTGGCCTCCGCCAGGTGTCCCACAATGCCTGTTCTCACTCTCTGGTCATTGGTTTGAACTCTACTGCCCTGCCTTCAGATGACCAACCAGGAGCCCCACCCCTTAAATTCCCTGGGAATTTTAAAAGTCCTCTTCCTGTTTTCTCAGTGGTCTCAGCACATCTTTCCAGGTGGCCATGCCTGCTCCATGCGCC